GGGTTTAGTGGTTGGTGTGTAAATTTGAATAATTGTAGTATTAACTGCTCTTCCTTGTAGGCATATGGATATTATCCTATCACTGACAGCATTGTACTTCAGGATAGACCATGAAACATTATTTTTGATGATGAATGTGATGCCATTCCTCTTCCACTTGTCATTACTGGCATAGTAGACCATGTGATTTTCTGATTCAAAATAGCCAATACCAATCCACTTCAGCTCACTAATGCCTAGGATATCCATCTTTGTGTGTTCCATTTCATTTTTGACAACTTCCAATTTTCCTACATTCATACTTTGCACATTCCATGATCCAATTATCATTGGATGTTTTCAGGTGCTTCTTCCCATTTTAAGTCATGCCAACAGCAAATGAAGGTATCAAAAGCTTTACTCCAGCCATGTTATTAAGGTCAACTCTACTTTGAGGAGGCAGCTCTTCCCCAATCATATTTTGTGTGATTTCCAACAACATGAGAGGATCATCGTCCAGTACTACAACAGACAATGTTTCAGGGCTATTCATAAAGTTTTCTGGTAATATGTCAGACAGTGTTTCATTGCTATTTGTAAGATTTTCATTGGCCAGTTTTTTCAGAAGTGGATGGCTCCATCCTTCTTCCCAATCTATCCTAGTCTGGAAGCTCTGCTGAAACCTGTCCACCATGGGTGACCCTGCTGGTATTTGAAATACTGGTGGCATAGCCTCCAGGCTTACAACAACATGCAAGCCACCACAGTACGAAAAACTGAGAGATGAGTGGTGGGATATTAGCTATATGTCCTAATTATTGCTAGAATTTTGCCATGTGGCAATTTTTTTATACCTAAAGCAAGATCATTTTTAAAAATTGAAAAATTGGAGATTCTACCAAACAGGTAGGATGAGTGAGTCACTGAGTTAAATTTAATCAAAAGTTACTTTTTGGCTTCTTAAAAGAAGAGGATTTCTGTAATTCCTTAATTTGCTTCATTTAGGATTTTTTTTAACATGTTTGCTAGTATTACCTCTTGCTGAATTATATTCTTTATAGTATAGTAACATTTTAGTAACTTTTTGTTCTTTTTCTTTGTTTGTGTACAAGGAAGCAGCCCAACAGTGGGCCTGTGTATCAGGACCATACCCTGTGTCTTCCTCACTTGGATTCTAGGGCTAATTTCTCCAGCCACACTCCTTCCAGCAACATATAATGCACCTTCTGGTCTAGATCATTCATGGAAATCCAGAAAAAGCATATTAAAATGAATCTACTAATTCCCTTCAAAATCCTGAATTTTAATACATCTCTTCGCACAGAATAACATGCTGATATTTGCCTTATCATCTTTTTATGCACATTATCCTTTCCATCCAGATAATGAAAACTACTCACATGACCAAGTCAGAAAGACATAGCTTATTATTTTCCACACACCATTATGAATTTTAGAGGTCCATGCCATTGAACTCTGGTTTTAAGAAATGTAATACTTCGGAGCACTGACTGGGACCATTCAGCGTGGGTTCAAATCCCAGCTCTGCAACTTACTAACTCTGAGACCTAGGGCCTCATCTGTAAATGGAGGTGATAATAACAGTACTGACCTCGTAGGATTATTGTAAGAACTAAATCACATAATTCACATCAAGTGCTAAGACAAATGCCTGGCATGTGGTAACACTGTGTAAATGCTGACTGTGATTAAGTCACAGTGACTGTGAGTGATGGTGGGCCCAGATCTTCTGATCTATCTCTGGAGACTGGTAGTTCTTTATAAGCACTTATATGGTAGCAAAGCAGCTCTTTTTGCCAAATATAAATGATAGAAAAAACGTTTAACTACATACTCTCGGCTCTAAACTCCTACATCTTTTGATCCCTTCTGCTAATTATCCACTTCATCAACTCAGTTTCTGAATCCCCAAATACCATCTTTCCCTCCATACCATCTTTCCAATGACTTACTTTGCTTCCATTGTAACGGTCAGTTCCATTCCTCATTTCATCTTGTCAGGTCTAGAGCAAATTGCCTCCTCATAGACCTACTCACTTCTGTTCCTTCAGCAGTCTAGAGTCGTCAATGGTTTCCCACTGTCCACCATAGCCTTCTAGACCCTTCCAACATGGTACCTCATCTGTCTACATTTACCAGCCAAATAGGGTTACTCACTACCCCTTCATTCTTTTATTCAGTCAATATTTTTGCTATTTGCTCCCTCATGCTATTCCTGTCCTCAGAATACACTCGTCTACCTTCTTGGTTTATGAAAAGCCCTAGACCTAAATGAAATGCTACCTTGTCTTCAAGTTAATTCCTCTGACATGGTTTTCCTTAACCATTACTTCATACTTCTCTTATAGCCCTGAATCACACTATACCTCACATTATAGGTAAGTCCCTTATTCTTGTGAGGTCTCTCTGATGGCAGTGGGGATGGCTTATTCAATGCAACATCACCCACAAGACCAATGCCTTGTAGAAGATATATCTAAAGACACTTTTCTTATGGTCTTATTTTTATGTGAATTCCAAACTGAAATAACATTTTAAATTAATGGAGGACTAAATCCCACTGCTCATTTCACCAAGAGCAAAATGAGAATATATGGACTGACTCCAAGGAGGGAAAAAATTACTTTGCCTCTCTCCCAGCTTCAGTTGGCTTAACCATCTCTCTCCTTTGCTCTTTTATGCTCACCAGGTCTCCCTCACTCAAGTGTGGCAAATTAGGTAATTAGTGAAAGAGCAACAATTTTGCAGAGAAAATGGTTATGTGTTTATGGAAGTTCAATGGCTCAAAATGTGTAAGAAAACCATTTACTGGGCCTCGAGAAAGAAAGCAGAACTGGGTTCCAGCCAGCTCTTAGCAGAACGAGGGGTAGTTGAGAAGTGCACACCTGGCCAGGACCCCAGTACCCATCTCTCTGTCCTCTGTGTTGACATAGAGCAAAATCATCATCAGCAGCAGAGAGTTCCCAGGAAAAGGTATGTGTGTGTCTTCAAACTGTGTGATCGATGACCTTTGCTAGCTTCACATCTTTTCCAAATTTTCCATAAGGCATTCAAGTTGGTAAAAAACATTGAGCCTAATTGTTGTTCTCTGAAAACCATGATGTCCAAGGGTTTAGACTATGCAGCTTGTCTTCAATTGTTTTAGCAACTGGGCAGGAATAACAATAAAATATGTGTGTTTTACTTTGGCAACTGCAGTTCAGTTTGTTACAACGTCAGGCTTCTTTGCCTTCCCTGTGCCCACTCAGGCTGTCAGGCACAGTACTTCCAGATTCTAGCTCCACTTCAGAAGGGTAGTCCTTCCAGAGAATGTCCCCCTGCTTTACTACACTGACTGGCCAAGGAAAATGCTGAAACCAAGGGCTCAGCTACGTAACTTTTCAATAATCTTCCCTGGAAAGTTCTATGGGTTTTACATTGAATATAGATCAGGAGCTTACCAGAGGTCACTGCTATTGTATCTTATGTGTGGTCAAGTTGCCTCCAACTCATAGCAACCCCTCCTTGGGTTTCTGAGGCAGAATCTCTATGGAAGAAGATTGCCCAACCTTCCTTCCGAGGTGGTCACTGCTACCATTTGCTTTTCATAATCTATTTTCTACTGTTTGAAAGCACACTAGAGTGTGGTGGCATTTCCTCTAGGGTCTTCCATGGACACTCATAGGACAAAACCCAGGCCATTGGTCAGATATCTTACTTTGTTTCTCATCGGCACCCTTGATGAGGGCAATAAAGGGTCAAAGAGGAGCAAAGTAACTTGAAATGTTCCCCTCCTTCAGAAAAGACAGAGGGGATGAAAAGTTGGTGAATTTAGCTGGGGGCAGCAAAAGGATTCTAAAGGGAAGACTCTTCTTCAGTATCTTAAAGCTGCACCAGCATTCAATATGGGACCCCATCTGTTTTGTTAAATTGACAATTTCCTTTAAGCAGGAAACAAAGGTTCATACTCAGTTTCAGACTGCTACAGAGTAAGAAATAGCTTCACTTTTTAAAGACTTTGCTTTTTAGGGCATTCAGCATGCAGCCTAATTTCATTTGATGGAGTTTGTTTTTCCATCTCCATTTGCTGCCTAGAAATGTGTGCTTCATTATGTCCTGCAGAACTGGTCTTAGAGCAGAGGAGAGCTAGCAACTCAGAATTCTCTGGACTTCAAACCCCAAAACAGTAAAATAATAATAAATTAAAATAAGTTATAAAAGCAGACATATCAGTTTATTTTCTCTCTCAAGCACTTCACATAGCACACAGTTCTCCCCCATACCCTTGAGGGGGGTCTACTGGACCCCTCCAGTTTCCATTTCATAAGCATGTAAAGAAGACCAAACTTAATAGAGCAAAGGATAACACATTAGCATGAACATATACATGGGTAAACCCAACCCAACCCAACCCAACCCACTGCTGTCGTGTTGATTTCAACTCATGGTGACTCCACGTGTTACTGAGGAGAATTGCTCCACACTTTTTTAATCTTTAAGGAAGCAGGTTGAGCACCAGGCCTTTCTTCTACAGAGCCACTGGGTGGGTTTGAACCACCGACTTTTAGGTTAGTGGTCGAGCACAAACTATCTGTGTCACCAAGGGGCCTAAGACGGGTTTTACTTGAGGGAACATTTGCATTTTTTATTTGAGGGAAACGTTTGTATAGGCTTCATTTAAGATTTGTTACCAAAGTAACAGATCAATGCTTTGCTTTACTTTTTCAACATTGAAACTTTCCAAAGTATTTTCACACAAAGATAAGACTTCACCTTAAAAATAAATGTAATGGAATATGATTTATTGAAATAAAAAAGAATTACATTAATTTAGAATTGTCTTTTTGGAAATTTTGACATGAGGAAAAAAAAAACCAACAAGAGAATGTAAATGTAAACTTTTTAATTGAGAAAGAATAATCCAGCAGTTACCAGGGAGAAGAAATACACATTGCCAAGTCTCTTGATGAGACTGTCTATGTATGTATATCTCCTGATGCCCTCATCGAGCAGAGATGAACTTACTTGATGTCACACAAAAGGGCCACTCCCCTCAGGATCCAGTGGTCTGGGGACAAAACAGTTCTCAAATACACCACAGTGATGAAGGTCAAGTCTGTTCGCCTTGGTTTCTTGTAAATAGGACACACATACAACTTGGGGTCCTTGGGTGCTGTGGAGTTGATGGCAAAGATATGTAACACAGGCAGCTGCATGAAGAGCACCTTGGGGGTGGATTCGGTGAGCTTCCCATTCCGTCTATCCCAGGCTGCTCCATCCATGTAGAGTCCATAAATATAGACACCTTCCTGGAAGAGTCAAGCATAAGGTAATAGGATTTAAAAAAAGAAAATTAGGTGCTGTGAGATGGGCATCCATTATAATAAAAGGTTGCTGTTATGGAAAGAAAATAGGTATCAGTCTTAAAACGCTGCCAAAGGAAGAAAGCACCACACACATTGCATTAGTGAAATACTGAGGCCAATTTTCCCCTGTGGCATCTCTTGGAGCTATGAGCACTGTAGAAGTGTTCCTGTTATTGGCTGTTTGAGTGTGGGGGTGTCCCGCTTGGTGTGGCAGAATTAGCTGGCATGCCAAATCACCTCAGCAGGGAGAGAAAAGTTTCCAAGAGGTCTGGGCCACGTTGGTGTAAGGTGGGAGCATGAAACAGGATCTGGAGTTGGGGTCATAGAGGATCTGTCTATGCTGCCAAAACCAACCAGTAGCACCTCAAGGTGGATTTAAATCACCAACCTTTGGGTTAGCAGCTGAGCACTTCATTTGCAGCACCCAGGGACTCCCAGTTCACAGAACAGATAAACGTCAAAGCAGAGGCGGTGGGTGGTGTCTGTTTATCTTGGAGGCATTTTTCTACCTGCCCCAGCTAGCTGGGACACTGGAGGAACTGCCCCCACCCTAGGGCTCTGGATTGCTAATCCACTTAGTCTCTACTGCCCTCAGCACTCACTGGATCTTTGAGAAGCTCACATTAGTAGCTGGAGTCATGTGAAAAATCCTTGTTAGCAAACACAAACGTTAACTCATAATTATAGAGAAATGACATTTGGGGAGGTGCCACCACTCTCCAGACCTACTCATTAACCTTCCTCTCCACAGACAGAGGAGGCTTTGGCACTGAGGTCTCCTGATAACAGCAGAGGAAACCTTTGCTGCCGAGTTAATGGACTGAATGGAGGCACTCATAGGTCAGTTCTAAGCAGAACTTGAACTTCCAACCCTGGCTCTAGGACTGTCCCTGCTGTTGCTCAGTGGGGCCTACCGCAGGTGGAGACGTGATCTCCTCCTTGGTCTGTCGCAGGACTTCATTGTGGATTGTCACAGAGTCCAGGGCCCAGCCTTTGTGGGCTCGAGTCACTTCCTGCCTCATTGCTGTGAGGAAGCCTTAAGAAAAGAGAGAAAAGAGTAAATGAAAGGATTTTGCTTTTGATGCTTTGGTGCGGTCCATTTTAGAAATAAGAAGCAAGTGAAGTTAAGCGTTACTTGCCAAGCTATCACCAAACTATGTGCCTATCTTAGCTTAGCTTCCTAGTGCTGTTGTAACAGAAGTACCAAAAGTGGGTGATTTTAAAGAGCAGAAATTTATTTTCTCACAGTTTAGGAGACTAGAAGTCCAAATTCAGGCCACCAGCTCTAGGGAAAGCCTCTCTCTCTTTTGGCTCTGGGGCAAGATACTTGTCCGGTTTCTGTAACCCTGGCATTACTCAGTTCCTTGGAGGGCTCCGTGTGGCATCTCTCTTTCCCCTATTTATGCTTACCACTCTGTGCCTAATCTGCTGTTTTCATACCTCAAAAGTGAGTAGGTTTATGACACACCCTATACTGATATGACCATGATATGATATGATATAATTTGATATTAGCATAGCAAATGAAACCCTGATCCAAAATGGGATTACATCCACAGGTAGAGGGGTTAGGATTTATAGAACATATTTTTTGGGGGGGACAGAGTTCGATCCATAATTATGCTCATCACATGAGGAGTTTTTATTTGAGACCAAACCTCAGGAGGGAACATGCTTTCATTGTTTGTTTCTCTTCATGGAGGTCTGTGATGAGCTAAATAGTTCTGACCAGTCCCTTTCTTCCTCAGACTGGCTCTTGGTTTGAAACTGTCAGGATTTCAGTGGCTGAATTCCTAAAAGGGTTGTAACCCAGTTGTGGCTCATAGCTTCTATTTGAAAATTCTGTATGTATTGACGAATAAGACTGGAATTGTGAAATATTCTGAGAATGGCATTCCAATAAAAACTTGAATCGAATCATTATCAAGCTTTTATTTGCTTTAATGGAACAATTTCATTTAGTTTAAGGAAATAAGGCATAAAGCCAAAATAGAAAACCTGACTTTTAATTTGATCAACCAAAGCAATCATGCCGGAAAGGAAAGCTACATGTTTTAATGTGCATAATACAGTTATTTTAAGACAATACATGACTCTGCATATTGTGGTCTTGCTTTAACCTTAGTATTTGCAAACCATGCCATTCAATTCAATAAGAGAAGTATTTCTTGGAGAGTAGCATTTGATATTAGAAAGTATACCTTAAAATCCAATACAGTCTTCAAAATCTTAGGAAAATTTAGCTATGATCTATATATTTTGGTCTCTGTGTTAATATTGAAATTCATGAGGTTCTCCAGTGAGTCAAATTTGGAATGTGTGCATCCTTGCTATTCCCGGATTCGTGAGCTCTGAGAACTATAATGTACAAACAAACATATAAGTGATAATATTTTATTGGGTCTGAGGAGGGTTGAAGGGAAAGGGAGAGTTGCTAAGCATGATTACAGGCTCCAAGGTAAAATCCCTTGGAGTTGGATAGAATAGGTCTCTAGCCTGCCTTACTGAGCCAAACTCTCCCAATTCCCAAATTCTTCCCTAGTTGTTAAATTAGACACTTAGGGAGGGTCTCCTGTGTTCGTTCACTCATCCTCTCTGGAGTGGCCACTATATGCCAGGCGCTGCTCTAGGTGGCATGGTCACAAACATGAAGAGGCCATCCATAAACGCTGCATTCAGGGAGCTTGGTCAAGAGTGGAAGGAAACAGACCTAATAAACAAGGACATACATGCAATACAATGTCCTTATGAACAAAGGCATGAACAAAGTTAACCACTTGGAGTGACAGGTTAGGGAAAGCTTCAGTGAGAAGATGAAATAGAAGGTGATTATTGAGATAAGTAGGAGTTTGCCAGATGGGTCAGTTACAGGCAGAGGAACAGCACTTGCAAAGGCATGGAGGTCTAGGCTAAAGAGGAGGCAATGACAGCAGGTAAGGTTAGAATATAGGTGGTGTGGTTGGTTGTTGGTTGCCCTTCACTTGGCTCCAACTCATGCTAATCTTATGTATAACAGAGCAAAATGTTGTCTAGACCTGTGCTATCTTCATGATCACTGGTATGTTTGAATCCACTGTTGCAGCTATTGTGTAGTGCCTTCCAACCTATGGGGCTTATTTTCCAGTACTATACTGGACAATATTCTGTTGTGGTCTGTAAGGCAGAGGCATGATTTTTCAGGGTCTTGAAAAATTACAGAGTTTGAGCTTGATTCTGTGGATGGTGGGAAAGTAAGCAAATTACATGATTGTATTTGCATCTTATAAAACATATTCAGAGTGCTAAAGAAGAGTCCTCATATTATTAATCCATAAGAAAAGCTGGTCAATCAACCAGAGTAATTGGTTGCAGGACTTTTATAGTTTATTATTAAAAAGCTATAGTTTCATGAAACTGAGAGCACCTAGTAGGAAAGGATGATTTTGTGATATAAAACATTAAATTCAGGGGGCAGGAAACAGAGTGGAAGTCTTTCTGGCAGCAAATGTCGATCAATACCCATACTCTGTGCAGAATCACTTGATTTTGATTATGTATATTCCATTTTAAATATTGGGGATGCCATACTTCAGTGGTAAAATGAACACTTTGTGTGCTTGCCAGTCAGTAGTGTGTGTGTATAGTGTGTGTGTGTATATATATATATATATATACATACACACACACATATATATACATATAACCATAATAATAAAATCTAATTCTCCCTTCTATGTCATTCTATGCCATTTTCATCATTCAACATTAAGTATGTGTGTGTCCAACATCATGTCATATCCAAGTAGAGGATTTGGAATTAAATTGGCCATCATTTATTATATTTTAAAATTCACCACTGATCTATGAATCTAGAAGGTCATAATGCATAAGGCATGAATCTTGGTCCCCACCATCCATCTGCACAAATTGAGTAATCGAATTTTTCCATAACATTTTAAGTCCCAACTAAAGAGCAAATTTGACCTCACTCCACACTGCATTCTGGACAGTGCCATGTGTGCCAGACGAAGAATGAGCTGAATCCTCTTTTATATAACAAATCTGCTCTAAAAACTTCAGTTATTTTCAGAGAGACCTGAAAAACTGTGCAGTTAAGAGACTTGAGAACACATGACAAGGAGAGACCATCTTCTTTCTTCTCCCGACTGGGGAATATGAATGATGTTGTCTAGCTGACTTCAGAAATCAGCCTCCTAATGTTGAGGAAACAATCCTGGTGTGTTACTAGCTGGAAGTATAAAACACACATTGTTGTTATTGTTAGCTGCTGGTGAGTCAGCTCTGACTCATGGCAATCCCATGTAAAACAGAATGAAATGTTGCCAGGTCCTTTGCTATCTTCACGTTTGTTGGAATATTTGAGTCCATTCTCGTAGCCACTGTGTATTGTGAGTGCTTTCCAACCAAGGAGGTTCCTCTTCCAGCATGATATAGGACAATATTGTGTTGTGACCCATAGGGTTTCTATGAGTCAGTTCCGACTTGACGGTACATATCATCAACAACAACAAATTTCCAGAAGTAGATCTTCAGCCCTTTCTTTCTGGTCTGTTTCTGCCTGGAAGTTCTGTTGAAACTTGTCCGCCATGGGGACTTCTGGTATTTCAAATACCAGTGGCATATCTTCCAGTATCACAGCAACATGCCAGCCTCCACAGTAAGACAAACTGGCAGATGGATGATAGAACATACATAACCTTTGCTATTAAGGACAAGAGTATGTAGATACAAAATATACATACAAGTACAAAAGATATCATGCCATTCCTTTGCTCATGGAACTTATGGGATGAAGGTTGAGTGGTGTTAACATTGCTGGTAGCTATTTTTTGTTGAGTTGATTCTGACTCATGCTGACCCCATGCGTTACAGAGTAGAACTGCTCCATAGGGTTTTCTTGGCTAAAATCTTGACAGGAACAGATCTCCATTCCTTTTCTTCCATCTTACTGCTGAGTAGGTTTAAACTGCCAACCTTTAGGTTATCAGTTGAGTGTAAACCATTTGTGGCACGGGAGACCTTATTGGCTATTGAGATGGGAATGTTAAATAAATATATTTGAGGCCTGAGATTGGAGGGTGGGGGACTGTTCTGTGGGCCATCACACTCAAGGAACATGGAGAAGATATATATTTTTGCAAGTTTTGATGGTTTTGTTTGGGCTTCCTGAAAAGAAGAGCATGATATTATGACATTTGAAGGGTAGTGAGTCCACTGAATTGTTCATTATTAAATTTAACAATGAATGACCATCTTTCTTGTGGAATGACATCAAGTCTCATGGAATACAAATCTGTGTTTTCTGATGCTTGCATAATTTAAAAAGACGATTGATATGTTTCTCTTTATAAACGCTTGAAAAGCAGTACTTTTGTTATGGTACCTATTTATTTTAATTGTGTTTGAACCAAATTTCAGTCATAAGTGGTGGAAAAGTGATTCATCATACATTCATATGTTTGACTCTGAAGTGAAAAACAGAAAGTTGGGCAAAGTCTTCAACAGTAATAACCTTTTGTTCTTCATGGGAGCTAACCACCCACATGATAAATGGGTGATTTGACTATTCAAACATCTGAGTTACATGTGGTCTAAACGAGGTGCTTGAAAATTTTTTTTCTCCTTCAAACTCACACAGCATACTGAATTCTTAAAAACTTGTCAAATTTGTGTTTTTTTTTTTTTTTTTAATTCACTTTTGAGCTAGGATTATACTTTGAAAAAACAGGTCTAAAGTAACATTTGTTATGTCTTAATTCCTATAAGGGAGGAGCTCTGGTGGCATAGTGCCTAAGGCATTTTACTGCTAACCAGAAGGATTGCAGTTCAAACCCATCAGCCACTCCTAGGAAGGATGGTTGGGCAATCTACTTCTGTAGTGATACTGCCACAGAAACCCAAAAAGGGTTCACCTTGAGTCGGATTCAACTCGACCGCAGTGCACAGCAACAACAATTCCTATAAGAGCAGTAATTTGACATTAATTACTAATTACTGTTGTTTGACTTATGCAATCAGTTGGCTTAATTTAGGAAG